ATCTTCAAGAATCGGCTAAAAACACATCTCTTCCATCTTTATTTGACCCTCTAACTCTAGCACTCTCTATTCTAATTCTATTCTTTATTAAAAAAAACTACTTGCTTCTGCAATCTTTTTGCATTCTATCTATTTGTTTTCTTATTTATTATACAATTATAATAAAAGACTTTCTGACTTCTGCTGATTAACAAAAGCAAAAACGGCCTCTAACACTAGCTTGCTCTATTCTTTTTCTATTTTATCTGTTTTCTTTTTATTTATTATATGATTTAAAAATACCTTGCTACGTGTACTGCATTAAGCTAACTGAGACTTGTTATAGCACTTGCATATCATTGCTCTTTTGTTGATTTTGATTGCTTCCATTGTCCTCATTTGTAAGTCGCTTTGGATAAAAGCGTCTGCTAAACGTCTAAATGTAAACGTAAATGTAAATGTAAATATATACACACACATTTCCCATTATTCTCTGAATAAACTACAGAAGGCACCACTTGTTGTTCATTAAACAAAATAAAAATGAATAAATACTAAATTAAACTAAATTAATTAATTAATTAACATTATTAAAAAAGGAGCTTTGACAATAAGTGAAAAAGAGCGAAAGAAATATGAATTTGTAATGTTCAGTCTTCAGTGTCACATGATCCTTCAGAAATCATTCTAATATACTGATTTGTTGCTCAAGAAACATTTCTTATTATCTTTATCATTCTCATTATTAGTGGTATTCTTATTATTACTACTGTTGAAAACAAACAAACAAACAAAATGTTTGTGGAAACCATAATACCTTTTTTCAGGATTTTTTTTTTTAGATAATATTTATTTATTTATTTATTTTTATTTATTTGTTGTTGTTTTTTTGTAAAAATGATAAATGTCTTTACTTTCATCCATTTAACACATTCTTACGAAATAAAAGCATTCATTTATTTCAAATACAAATTCTTTCTTACTAACCCCAGCATCTGAATGGTAGTATATCACCAAATATTCTTGCATATCAGATATAAGTATATCAGTAAACAGTATTACAAGTGGACTATTTTGCCAACAGTGTTAAAATAAAATAAAATAAAATATCATTTTCTATGTGCCTATATTGGTAGGCAACAAGGCAGGTCACTAGGTTTCTCAGTCCTCATATCCGTGTGCACTGAAGTGTTATGGACAGTGTGAGTTCATACTGACATGCACAGGCTTGCTGCTGCGATTATGCAAGAGGTTATACCGACATCTATGGATACATGTGTATGTGTTGTGTTTTTGTAGCTGTGGAGATGCTGGGCATGGAGAGTCAGCGGAAAGCCTGACACATTGACCATGACATCATTGCCTGAAAGTGTGCCACCTGGGCATGATACAAGAGGTGGAAAGTGTGTGTTTGGTTTCAGGGGGTGGGTATGGAGATGACTGGGGGTAAGTTCCTGGAACAGAGCTTCAGAGGAACTGAAACCATGCGCAAGTCAGATTATCCTGGCAGCTGCGGATGCAAAGTGTGTGTTTGAGTCAAACAAATGGTTTGGAGTGGGTTGCATATGTTTGATTCTTCGAGAGAGCGCGATGTGTTTACAGATCGGCTCCTGCTGTAATAGACTCATACTGTCACTCCAATGAATGTGTGATTGTGTAAGAGCGTGCATGTGTGTGTGTGTTCCTCAGAGAGGTGACCTCATCCTAGCCCCAGTGGGCCAGTGAGCTCACATACTGCCTTCCAAGCAGCCAACCATGCAAGGCATGGTGACACGGCACACTATTTAGTTTTTTTTCCCCATTGCCAGTTGCACCCAGTTTGAACTGGTGCCTTTAAACTGACTGAAGCTACCTGGGATTTCCTCCCTGATCACAATCTCTCATCACAGTAAAACTTTAAAGGGGTCATATGATGCGATTTCAAGTTTTCCTTTCTCTTTGGTGTGTTACAAGCTCTTGGTACATAAAGAAGATCTGTAAAGTTGCAAAGACTAAAGTCTCAAATCCAAAGAGATATTCTTTATAAAAGTTAAGAGTCAGCCACGCCTACCTAAAACGGCTCGTTCTAACACGCCCCCACATATCTACGTGTGGAAATATTAGCATAATGCCGCCCAAATGTGCACGCAAAGATAGAAGGCGTGGTTTCAGGAACAGCGGTAGTGTTGATGCAGCCATGTCAGGGAGACGCTGTGTTTCAGTGCGAAAGCAAAAGCACT